CTCATAATAGCGACGCGAACGCCAACCCTTCGTGTATATTTAATGGCATATGCAATTTATTTTTAATAAATCAAATTCCAGAGGTGTAAACATTTTTTATACGGTAAAATTGTTATTTATTAAACGTAACCCTAGGAAACAATAAAGTCGACGCCTATAAGGATCTGGCTGTGTAATTAATGATATAATGTGCCACGATTATCACTTTTAAAAATTCTATTACAACGTAGGTACACATGGTAAACAACGTTGTGGTCGTGTAAANATTAAAAAAATCTGAAGAAACTGTATGTCATTCTCTTCTCCAATACATTTTTAGTACAGCAAATTTCTTTAATTTGTTAATGTATTTATTTAATAAATTGTTTCGATTGTTTCTAGATTATTAAATTATCTGTCTTTAATCTAGAAACACTTTACAATATGTGTAAGACATTCAAATTTATTAAAAGGGCATTTTTTTCTAATTATTCCTTATAAGTTTTTCATTACAGCTATTTGTTTTTTTCTCTTATGCAACAGACCTATACCAAGTCGTACCGTACGTACAGTGTACATATGCATATTCGGTGACAAAAATTGATTGTATCTGTTGGTTTGGGAACGGTTGTGGCGCTAACGCTATTACTTAACGAAAATATGCAAATTTGTGATTACAACAACGATGAAATGTTTGCTAACAAATTCAGCAGGAAATAAAAACGTTACAGAACGTTAACCAGTGGTGATGGATTTGTTTTTTCTTCACAGCTTGCGCTTAACGGCCACATTCCTTATCATCTGATAAGATGTACGCAGTTGACTTCTGTTTAATGTAAAACATCAATTACTAACTTCAAGAAATTCGTACACGAGTAATTGTCGACACAAAACCCGAAGACAGGTCGTTGTCATACTTAAGAAAGATTGGAATAAGATATACTTGCAAATTCTTAACTGGGATATTTTTAGTATAACGCATATGTCAGGTGGAAAGACTGAAAATATTTGAAAATAAAATCAAGTTTATTTACAATGCAAAATATTCGTCGTGGTCGTCATAAAAGAATCATAAAAAAAAACTTATAATAATATATTTAAATGGACCTTGCTGAAGCATACGTAATCCTAAAATGCAGCACTGTACTACAGATGGCGTTTACAGCGCCATTTGTCGTATTTTCTAAAACGCGCTGTTAAGGCAGCAGGTAATAGTTGGTCTGTGTTCTGTCGGAACTGCCTGCGACGCGCTGATGAGATCCAAAAAGATCGAAATCGCGATCCGCGTCTGGAAGTTTCGACAGAATACAGACCACTTCGAATTATTTTATTAAGATTTAAAATTATGGATTTCCAGTGACTCTTCAGCTTTTTCCTTTAGTATAGGTCCACTAACACTAATGTTTTTACATATTTCTTCACTGTCGAAAAAATGTAAACAAGCATTTTTATAAATTAGGAAATTCAGTAATTCTTCGTCTTTTACATAGACTTTCTACCGATTCAAAACACTTTTCACTGCTTACTGAGGTGCGATGCCCAAATTATTCATTTAAGTTATAGAGGGTTCTTATTTTAAGTAATAGATATTTTGAACTACGACGGGAAGGGAACACAACATTTTATGAATTTATAAAGGTTATTACGTTATCGAGGTTTAAGTTATCAAGGTTCTACTGTTGTATCATGTACTGTACCTATCCTGGTACCTGCTCGGCCTCTATATGTTCACCTCATCTAAACGGGTAGATTCTTTATACAGTTGTCATAATGAGGAAATACCACAGATCTTCTGATGCATCTAGGCATGGAACGATCTTATAAGAAGCCTAAATTATTCTGAATTGTTTATTAAATTGAATTCATTGATTTTTTGTCAATTTGTATTTAATTCTTGACTTTAACCAAGTAAGTAAAGTATTTTTGATGGAGTTAAAAAAGGATTTGCTCGTATAATACGTGTTTACCAACGTACTAAAAGTTAAAATACAGTTTCTTTTCCTCTTGTTCTATACTACTTTAAACTACGGTTAGTGTTTCCTCTCTTCCCCGATCGTTTATCATATGATAGTAGGTGCCGACATTTTCCTATTCATTTTAATAATAATTCTACCTATTCTAGTGTTGTCTTTTATATGTATATCATAATATTTAATAAATAATTAGCATGTATGTGTCTATTACATAACAAAGTTTCTGTCTGTTTAGAATTTAAAGTATTTCTAAAAAATAATGACCTACAGAGATTATGTAAAAGCCTAAAATAATTCATAAAAATTATATAGCTTCGAGTTTTGTTAATATTTTTTTATATGCTAGCGATGACAGGCTGAATACGAATATAGCACTTATAAAATTAAGAGTGTGTTAGGTCAGTATACCCGAAATACCCCGGTACCTTAATTTTAGAAATTAATTCACAAAAAGTAGAAAATTAATTAGGCAATTTATCTTTCTGGCCATTTCATTCTTTTTTTGTATTTTTCGGATGAAACTAAAATGGAGATATTGCGTCATCATTTCTAAATTTAATATTTTTTAACGAATTTCAATATTTTATGGTATATTAAACATTAGATGTTTTGATTCATACTTGATCGAGCGATTTGCTATTTTTCTAAATCTAATCGATAAAGAAAAACAGGTGAATCGAGTTCTTTAAAATTAATCTAAGTGACTAATTAGCAATTTAGTGGACATAATTAACAAGAACCGGTCTAACGTTTCGTCTGTGAAAACATAAATATAGACCTTGAACTTTAACTTAACAATCTAAATATTTTTTATCAAGTTGTGTAACAAATTAATCTCTATATCTATCGGATCATTTGGATTTTGATGAATAAGCGATATTCATTTCGCAATTGTTTGTAGTGAATTTCAAATTCATTTAAATTGGATGATGTGTTAAAATAATCTATATAGTTTTCGAGTTGACAAAAAATCTAAAAAAGAAAGAACAAAAAAATTGTAGAAGTGACTGTTATTATAATTTCACAATTTGGTAATATAATTGGACAAGAAGTTACGTATTCGATACAAGGATAATGCAGATTGATTACCTTTATTAAATTGTTAAATAATAATAATGTACCTACAGTTTTTTTTATACCACGGAGATTTGCATATAATAATTAATACATTTCAGGAGGTAGGAGTTATTAAACTGTTGTTAACATTCACCATTACCGATTTTACAAACTGATTACTTATCAGTATTATTGATCATGTGCATAGATTAGATCAAATAGCAACAGGATAAATTACATTTGGTCAAATAAAGGTGATAGTTCAGCGTACAGTTGCTGTAATTGGATATATTAATAGCTTGCTGTGCAATTATTCTTAGGGATCATTTCCTTTTAGAACATGAAATTATGTTATTGCCTAAAGATCCATACGTCAGGAATTAGATATTAATAAAGAAGATCCTACGTCTTTTAAGGATTTGTAGAAATTAATCATTATCAGCATTCATAATAGCGTCGTTAATCCAAAAATTTTTTGAAATCGTACTTAGCTATTTACAGACAGTAATCTATATCTTTACTAGGTCTTCCCTTGCCTCTCTTCTCCTATTTATATTTGTGAAATATCTATAACTAATCCTGCGCTATCCTGTATTATTAGGTCTCTACCCAGTAGCGGATTATCCATAAGGCAAACTAATAGGCACATGCCTAGGGCGGAAGATTAGGAAGGGGCGCGCGCGGAAGTTTTTAAACTAAAAAAAAAAAATTAGAAAGTACCTGTTTCCAAAAATTATTTTGAAAAATATATGACCGACAGAGGGACGTGTACGAGGTGCTAGCCTAGAACGCTCTCGACATTTAATCCGCCTCTGTCTATCCCATTCTGACTTCATAGATATCGAAACTGAACAACCTGTTGTAGTTTTTCTTATCCAACTTCTATATTGGCTCCAACCCTTCTTTCACCTTTCTTACATAACTACCATCATACTAAAATTTTTCTTTTACTTTTATTTTATTCATGTCAACCTTTTGTCAATACCTGTAATACCATCTCCTTATATTTAAAACTATCTCCAACTTCATAATTGGAAAGAATCAAGATATGTAAAGGTAAAAGATTTTTTATTGATACGAGACATCTTCCAGTTTAGGTTTTTAAATTGGTTGTGGTTTCACAAAAATTAAAAAAACCTTTTACCCCTACATTGCTTGATTTTATACAATTATACAATTGTTTTGGGGAAGAAATAGAAATGAAACTTATATCTCCAACTTCTTATTAGATGTTAACACTCTTATATGTAAGTTATAATTGTTCTAAAATTCTCGCGCTCCACTTTTTGTGTGACTAACCAGATACTAGATATCCAACATCATAGCCTACTAGTATTACTACAGTACATTATTTTATTTGCGGTCGACTGCGATAAAAAAACATTATATAAAATTTTAATGTAATGTGATTTCCTCTGAGCAAGGCCTAAGGGTTGTTATTCACTAACCTGAAAAAAAAACTGAACCATTTAAAATTATGTTAGCCTTACAAACCGTTCACTAATTTGAACCGTTCACTACTATGCATGTTGTAGAAATTGTTGAATATATTAAACATATTGTTATTATTACTTGTTGCAAAAAAATTACTTAAAATATTGTTTACCCTTAAAAACGTGACAATTCATACATTAGCTGTAATATTGCTTACGTAAAGGATAAAGATCTATTTTTTTTTTCTATATATCACGACTCCATTCACCCGTTGTACCTGTTATTATACATACATTAGCAAAATGCGTATAATCATAAATCCCTGTATAATAAATTGTTACATAACGGTACTGAAATAAGTCCCGGAAGTCCTTATGAAACGCTTTTTGCGTTGAAGTGTTAAAATGGTGACATTACTTTCCAAATAATATTATATTTATTTAGCGAGAATATCCAAAAAGGAATTGGTAATAGGTTAAAGATATTTAAATGTTAGTTTTATTATAACTGAAGTTTGCAATGTCAATTGATTGCTATATATGTGGTATTTCGTTTCAGGTACATAAACAAATGACATTAGATGAAATAAGGAGCACATTTCATGTTGATCATCACGACGATGGTAAGAATATTTTATTTATTCTATTTTATTCATATAGTAAAAGTTTAGAAATTGCATTAGTACTAAAATTAAAAATAACAAACTTTTGGAACGATATAACGTGATAGTTAAATTAAAAGGGTCATATCAGGACTATAGAGTGCGTGTAATTTTCATTAAAATAATAGTAAGTACATCTACCAACTCAATTACTCACAATTTTACAAAATAAAGTTGTTAATAGTTTCGTTAATTGCGTATTTTGTAGTACGTTCTCTGTTAATTCTAGTAACATTATAATTACTTGAACAGCATTTAATACTATTTATACGGTCGTAAACACATTTTATCAAAGTCAAATCGTATAAAATTATAAACACTTAAGTCTTAATTATGACAACGCTAATGCAATAGAAAAAGTACATTTATAATATTAAAAGGATTAGCTGTGTCATTTGCATTTATAAAATTAAAATTCTGTTTGATGCGTTTAATGTTATTAATGTTGCAATTTTATAATTAATAAACGTAGAATAATGTACATATGCAAATTATTTTTTGTTAAGCAAAAATGCGATTTTTTATTTGTAATTATTAATTTCTGTGATAAAAACTCACTTGATAAATGACTATTACAGTGAAATAATAAATCTTAAAAAATTACTTCTGCATTTTAAAGTAAAAACAGATCTCTGTTTTTATTTTTATTTAAAATTTAAGCAGTTAGAAGACCATCATAATGCATTTTTCTAATATTTTATGACAAATCGGTTGAATTTGTCGTTCTAATTTTATTGTTAATTAATTCTGAACCAGAAGTTCATTATTATTCAGATCAAATGAATAGCCTTTTTGTCAATGCTGTTACACTTAATTCACATTCAACCTAACTTGGCGCGCTTTTTTCGGTCTTGGCTCATGCTGCAGCTTCCATTGGGATGATTTAACTTTGATTTCCACGTCATAACCATAAACCCATGATTCGTCATCAGTTATGATCCTCTGGACCAAATTTTGGTCATTCAAAGTCCAACAACCCCTTAGCAATGTTAATGCGATATTGTTTTTGTTCGAAATTGAACAATTTTGGTATGAATTTCGCGGCGACCCGTCTCATACCCAAATCATTGGTAAAAATAAAATTGCAGGAGCTAATCGATATGTTTAGGTCTTCAGCAACTTCTCTAACGGTGATTCGACAATTCTCCAATTTTCTTCACTCCATCAATGTTTTCGTCTGTTGTTGACATGCTCGAACGTCCGGCACGTTCTTCGTCGTTCACATTCTTCGGCTCTGTGAGAACATTTTGTACCAACGATAAACGTTGGTTCGGTCCAAGGTAGCTTCATCATATACCACAGTCAACATTCGGAATGCGTCCGCGCACTTAATTTTGTTTTTCACACAAAATTTGATACAAAAATCGAAAACGAGTCAAAACACGTGCAAGCAAAGCAGCTGTCAAAAATTAACTGAACATTCACTATGACCGAACTTGTTGTTATAAGTGAGAGACATGAGTACTAACATCATCATCATCATAAGGTCGTCAGTCCTAAGACTGGTTGGACACGCACCTCCACTATTTCCTAACCTGAACTAAACTTCGCATTTCTCTAAAACTAGAACAGCCCACATCCTTAACTATTTGTGAACAGTAATCTAATCTAGGTCTACCTCTACCCCTCCTAACTTCCGTTTCTGCCTCTAATATGTCTCTGACTAGACCTTCATGCCTGAGAAGGTGTCTTACCAACCTACGTCGACTATTTCTTATTGACTTCCATAGAGTCCCCTGTTCTCCTATTCTTTCCAATACCTCTTCATTTCTAATCTTTTCTACCCACGATATCCTCATCATCCGCCTATAACACCACATTTCGAACGCTTCTAACCTTTTCTTTTCCACCGCGCCCACTGTCCATGTTTTGCATCCGTACAACGCCACAAAAAAGTCGAAAATCAAATGTACGTAACCCGCGGAAATTCAAAATTCGCGATAATTTTTGAACAGACCTCGTATATGTAATTGTACCTTTGGAAGTGCTTATGGAAGAATGCAACTTTAGAGGACCATGTATCAAAAGAATGAGTTTTTACGACTTAGCTTCCATTGAGACTTTTGATCTACCAAAATCCAAAGTTTTATAGTGTGCGCGTATAGTGTCAATAATAGAGGACCTTTTTCCGTAAAGATCTAGCTATTACGAAAGAAAGTGCTCGATGTCGGGAAATTATTTACAGACAGTTTACCCTGATTGACTATAATTCGTAGTTGTATTTGCACAATTTTTGCCAATACGATTCGACCATTTCTTTTAGAAATTAGAGTTTCGTCTACATATATATAAAAAGCAGGATGATTTACAATTTCGCAAAGTAATTTTGTAATCCGGTAAGAAATGAATCGTTAGTCTACCAGGTGTATAATCACAACTTTTTAATAAATTCTGTATTATGTAAAGACAGCTTAATGTTATGCACTGGAGATTATTAGGAACGCTTTCTAGCACTGGCCGAAGTAATAACACTTATATTTACTGGATAATTTGTAGCCGTATAAAATACATATATTCTTGTTGTTGTTGTTGTTAATGTTATTACTAGTAATTTAAATTGAACTGCTCTATATAACTCTGCGCTTTTTAGTGTTAAAAACTACTGGTCAATGCTTAAAATTATAGAGCCTGTTACGTAAACAAATTATGCTTAAAATATAAAACATGACAAAGGTAATGCAATAAATTCATATCAATTAAGTAATCTGCTTTGTCTAATTTATCATTTTAATTTGGCACATATGAAGGGAAAAATTCTAAACTATTCTGAGGCCTATATTCGCATTCTCCAATTTCAAAGTACAATAAGGTGAAAAAAGTTTTTCTAACAATAAAATAATTACTTTAGTACTTTAATTCCCGAAATGCGAAACAATCGCTATTTTGTTCTCATTAGTACTACGTACACAACTCCGACAGTACACAAATCAACCTATACAGCGTTCAATTATTAAATTCAGAAAGCTTAGTGAACGCCATGGAGAATTTACCTACTTATTGTGGAATTAAATAATATTCAGTAATGTCCTTTTCTAATAAGGACATGTCATACTGAGCACAGGCCGCTCTATTAGCTAATATGCTTAGCTTAACAAAATAATGTTGCAATACGTACGCTATTTTCCGAATGGTTGCATTTTTTGCGGGCTATTTTTTTAAATATTTTATATGTAATTAAATTGCATTTATTAGGTGAAATATAATCTGCTTAATATTGTGACCAATCACTGGAACCATAAATACTATTTATACGGTCGTAAACACATTTTATCAAAGTCAAATCGTATAAAATTATAAACACTTAAGTCTTAATTATGACAACGCTAATGCAATAGAAAAAGTACATTTATAATATTAAAAGGATTAGCTGTGTCATTTGCATTTATAAAATTAAAATTCTGTTTGATGCGTTTAATGTTATTAATGTTGCAATTTTATAATTAATAAACGTAGAATAATGTACATATGCAAATTATTTTTTGTTAAGCAAAAATGCGATTTTTTATTTGTAATTATTAATTTCTGTGATAAAAACTCACTTGATAAATGACTATTACAGCTATATCTATCGGATCATTTGGATTTTGATGAATAAGCGATATTGATTTCGCAATTGTTTGTAGTGAATTTCAAATTCATTTAAATTGGATGATGTGTTAAAATAATCTATATAGTTTTCGAGTTGACAAAAAATCTAAAAAAGAAAGAACAAAAAAATTGTAGAAGTGACTGTTATTATAATTTCACAATTTGGTAATATAATTGGACAAGAAGTTACGTATTCGATACAAGGATAATGCAGATTGATTACCTTTATTAAATTGTTAAATAATAATAATGTACCTACAGTTTTTTTTATACCACGGAGATTTGCATATAATAATTAATACATTTCAGGAGGTAGGAGTTATTAAACTGTTGTTAACATTCACCATTACCGATTTTACAAACTGATTACTTATCAGTATTATTGATCATGTGCATAGATTAGATCAAATAGCAACAGGATAAATTACATTTGGTCAAATAAAGGTGATAGTTCAGCGTACAGTTGCTGTAATTGGATATATTAATAGCTTGCTGTGCAATTATTCTTAGGGATCATTTCCTTTTAGAACATGAAATTATGTTATTGCCTAAAGATCCATACGTCAGGAATTAGATATTAATAAAGAAGATCCTACGTCTTTTAAGGATTTGTAGAAATTAATCATTATCAGCATTCATAATAGCGTCGTTAATCCAAAAATTGTTTGAAATCGTACTTAGCTATTTACAGACAGTAATCTATATCTTTACTAGGTCTTCCCTTGCCTCTCTTCTCCTATTTATATTTGTGAAATATCTATAACTAATCCTGCGCTATCCTGTATTATTAGGTCTCTACCCAGTAGCGGATTATCCATAAGGCAAACTAATAGGCACATGCCTAGGGCGGAAGATTAGGAAGGGGCGCGCGCGGAAGTTTTTAAACTAAAAAAAAAAAATTAGAAAGTACCTGTTTCCAAAAATTATTTTGAAAAATATATGACCGACAGAGGGACGTGTACGAGGTGCTAGCCTAGAACGCTCTCGACATTTAATCCGCCTCTGTCTATCCCATTCTGACTTCATAGATATCGAAACTGAACAACCTGTTGTAGTTTTTCTTATCCAACTTCTATATTGGCTCCAACCCTTCTTTCACCNTAATGAACTATAGTCAGTTAAATAATTAAAAAATATTAGATAAAATTAATTTAGTCTTAATATGTTCTTGTGATGTAATTAAAAATCTTACGAAAGCTTGACAACGGTTTTCTGGGATTTTTCATTTATTTATATAATACTTTTTTGGACGCATTTGATACCTCTTTTTTTATTGAATATGACCAATATGGGTATTTTGCACAACATAAACATAAGTTTGTATTTTTTAGTAGATATATATACCATTGCTCAGCATCTTTGACTGGATAATTTATTAATAAGATTTAAATTTTCGATTTTTCATTTTCCAACAATGACAATACAATGCGTGTACTTTGTTGTGCGTAGAATGAGTTAATCAATCATTAGTAATTAGTAATGCAAATGGCATGGAAATGAAGGCCACAAGAACTACATACATAAGTAACCTTTATATTATAGTAATTAATACTTCGGTTGTTTCTTGTCGCAATAACTGGTCAAGTGTGACATCAAAATTAAAACAATGTGTAACATAGGTAAAGTATTATATTACAGGAAGAGTTCATGGGTCGCATATGAATTACTGTCGCTATATGCGTAAAATAAGTTGTAACGAAAATTTTCTTATGGTTTACGGCCCAATCACAGCCCAGTCAATAAGAACCTGATTTTTGTTTGTAAATTATTGATATTAAAAGGAAATGTTTGTGAATTAACGTAATTGATCATGTTTTGCGTCATTCTCTTAGTTAGTCAAGACCAAAAACATAATTTATTGATTAATAACTGTAGAAATACAGCTCAAGTTGAATAAAAAGAACAAGAAACACCTTTTTGTTTTGCAACAAAAATCGGCGCAAGTTTTTAGTGTAGAAATGGGTATCCAGAATGTTATGGTTTAATTAGAATTTTTAATTAAGAATCTCTAACTTTGACAAGGTGGAACTAAACAATTGCAATAGAATGGGCGTATTTAAATGCTTATAACTTATAACTATTTGGTATTCATTCAGGTCCTTTTCAATCTCAAATGTTTGAGATTATTTAAGCAAGTATATATTTTGGTATAGGGGATTGTCATTTACCTCAAATTTGGACAACTTTCACTAGTTTTTCAGTAACACAAAAATCGCTTATTGACTATTAACGTAACTAAATTTTAACCAGTAAGAAGAAACAATTTGTAACAGAAAATCTAATAAATTAACCTTATCAGTAATTTGCGCAACAAATTTTCGTTTCGAATGTAAGGAAAGTAGATACTTACTTATTTATTGAGAGACAACCTCCTTTATCGTTAACAAAAAATGCTAATCTTGGAATAATCTCTGAAATGTCGCTGTCACTACATTTGCAGCAATTAAAGTATTGCACTGAACAATCGATTTGAAATCCACAGGTCTGCATTTTAATGATTTCGTGCAATTGAGGTAATTTAACCAATTACCTTTTCAATAATTAATTCATATCCGAAGAATAATCTATATAGTAAAGAAATGTAATATACTTTTATTACTAAAAAAATTGATAGTCTAGTAAGAAATGTTAACTAATTCTTCTTTTGTTTTCTTTTTGCAGTTCCTGAATACGAAATAATTCATATTCACCACGACAATAAACGAAGTCTTGTTCCAAATTCAAACAGTAATAAAATCAATAGTGAAAATGATGATAAAACAAATTCAAAACATGATGAATCATCAGCATTAAATGACAAGAAACATACAAAAATAAGACTGAACGCATTTGGAAGGCCCTTAAATTTAACCCTGGTTAAAAATGAAAATCTCATTAAAAAGGACGGACTCAAAGTGTGGACCATTGAACCTAATAACACTGCCCAGCATGGACTTGAATATGTTGAAATACCAGAGGTAAGATAAATTTATTATTGACTTTGTAGTGTATATAATTTTTTTTTTAAAACAATTCTTAAATACTGAAAAATTTCGAAATAGGACACACTCAATTTCCATGTATTTCCTTTTTATTTATTTACATATATATTGATGCATTTGTTAGGGAAAATTTTATTTAAAATAATCCCCTTGCTTTAAAGGCAAATTTGTCGCTTAACTTCTATTACCTTTGGAGGGGCTACTTTTCAGCATGTTTTTATTTCAAAGTGGTGGAAATTCAACTTTCTTCTCATACTCATAATAGCGACGCGAACGCCAACCCTTCGTGTATATTTAATGGCATATGCAATTTATTTTTAATAAATCAAATTCCAGAGGTGTAAACATTTTTTATACGGTAAAATTGTTATTTATTAAACGTAACCCTAGGAAACAATAAAGTCGACGCCTATAAGGATCTGGCTGTGTAATTAATGATATAATGTCCCACGATTATCACTTTTAAAAATTCTATTACAACGTAGGTACACATGGTAAACAACGTTGTGGTCGTGTAAAAAATTCCAAGTACCTAGTGATCGATCTATTTAGCTACCTACGTGAAATCGCTTACAGGCATTCATTACCTTAACTATAACGATAATCAATGCAGCTGTTATTAGCAGATCCAATAATAAGAGAACCTCGGTTTTCAGCGGACAGAAACTAATTGAAAACAAAAAATATAATTTCGAAAAACGAATATAGATTATCAGATTATTTTAAAATTTTAATTTTGATATTTTTTTCCGGTAGTCGAATCAATTAACAGCATTTCCCATTATTATTGACGTGACAACGTCTTATAATTCGATGGAGCCGGCTGCACGCACGAAAAAACATGACTCATGCGGCGTTACCTCGCTCTGAGGCGTTCCATTTAAGGCTTGAAGTGCAAGCGAGAGCGCGGAACGAGCGACAAAGAGGCACAATCTGCCTCCGCGTTCGGTAGCGTTCGACATCTGTCTCTCTCCTACTTGAGTGAGCGATGCGTCCGCGTGGACAGCTGCTATACAATAATACATTTCCATTTACCTCCTTCTCTATATCCATACAAAATATCTATCAAGCAAATAAAATTAAAATTTTCTTTTGAAAAATGAAACCATTCCATCAGTATTTTCTTATGACGTTGTCACGTTCAACTATCGTCAGTATACCGACTTTACAGACAACCGATTTTTTTTTATTCATCATCGTCATCACAAGGTTGTCAATCCCTCCAGCCACTCCTACATTATTAATATTATAGCTCATTGTTTGCCCCCTGTTACTCTTGTTTCCCCTTATTTCCTTATTGAATTTCGTAACATCCTTTGCTCTCCTACTTTTTCCAATACCTAACCTTGCTTATCTACGGTTGTCGTCATTTTCCTGTAATAACCCCATCCCTAAAACTTCAAATTTTTCTAAACGTATGGAATATTGTTTTTCAGCCACATTTTTCTGAAATTATCACCTGATTAGCTAACCACTGTCCTAAACTAAGTGGTTGTTCATAAAATACGTTCACAAATATTGGGGAGGGAGGGATTTTGCTAAGAATGACGAGTTATGACAACGGGGGAGAGAGGTCTAAAGAAAAATGACATTAGCAGTTCATCAATTTTATTTAGTATTTATTCTTAAATTGACAGTTCTTAAAATTTAAGCTATACTTAATCATAGGTGGGGGTGAACTAGCTTTCATGGCTTAACACTTATTAGGAGGGTCGCTGAAGTGTGACGTAGGAGAAGGGAGGGGTCCAAATAGGTGAAATTCTGAGTGACATTTTATGGACAACCCCTAACCAAATTGTGAAAATATTTTGATTTTCTCTAAAAAATATATCGCATTTACCCTTTATTAGAAAAGGATTTTACCATCTTCCGCGAGTTTCCAAACTCGCTTTCGGCTTGTCTGTCAATTTCCACGCAATAGATGTTAAAACAATTTCTTAATAAACAATAAATGCGATTTCATACCGAGTAACTTGTGTTTCACTTTCTCGTATTTAATATCAGGAAAAGTAGCGTACATTCGGTAGGGTTATGGTAAAAAAATCGCCTACGAGCAACGGGATGAATGTAGGGCATCCCCATCCCGGATGTTTAACGCCCTAGCTTTCGGCTCTTATGGCAATTTCCACCCAGGAATGCCGTACATTCTTTGGGGTGTAGTACGTCTGCTATTATAAATATCATTACTCACACTATCCATTACACCCATAATCACTTTATTATTTATTTATACATGGATACATATGCAATATCCCTACATTATGTTCGTTAAGCATAGGTACGTTATATATATTACGGAAACAGGGTATTAGATAATAACTGTATTAAATGAAAAGTTACAAAGGTATCCGTTAGCATATACATACATGTATGTGTAAGGGTTCACGTGATATTACACAATATCTAATAGCACATGTAAAAATATAAGCGTGAATGCAGGCAGGGTCAAGGCTGTATTGATGTGAGAAAGGTACCTATACTTGTAAACAGTCGCATTCTTTTATATTTCTCCATTTTTATGCTCATAATCGAATGTAAATTATTTATTAGTGCAGCGAAGCAGGGAATTCTACTTTACTAAGGCAGTTGTTAAAAGCAATTATTGCTATATCTTTGAGGGTAGAAATAGAAAAGAAATGTACCTAACTGCTATTAATAAATATTTGAACTAGCTTTCGATTTTGTCTGCGTTGAATTGGAATTTTCTTTATAAACTTGAATGAAAAGTATGAGCTTTTTGCGATCAATAGATTTACAATTTTAATTTTAAGGTTTTTATTTGTAATTGCTGTAATGATGTTCTAAAAAATGCACTTTTAGCCTGTTTAAGGCCACCGCAACGGTCGTAATTGTCGATCATTTTGATGTCAGTTCTCGACCGCTTATAAACGAATTAAGACAAATGTTTTTTATAGAAAAAATTCAAATTTTAATATTTTTTTCTACCTTATACATACGTGCTAGAGATTTATTTATTTTTCACGGAGTTAAACACATAGGTTTGAATAGAGACACCCCAGTTTTATGTAGGATAAACTGGTCGAAAACTAATTCAATAAAATCTTTAATCATATTTGGCGGTTTTTTACTTATTATTGGCATTAAAACAAAAAGTGGTCGAGATCTAAAGCAGGTCGGCGAACAGGCAGATTCACCCCATAAACACGGAGAAAATGCAAAAGGAAAATATACCTAAATATTAAAGCGATATTTACAATTTACCCTACTAGCCCGTTGCTTCGTAAGCGAAAATAATAAAAATTACAATTTGGACCTGAATTTGTAAAAATAAAATCCCAGCAGAAATAAATTTACTAGGTATTTTAGTTGGTATTACAAATTTAATTGTAATAG